CCAAGCTGACTGAGGGTGGTACTTTCTAGCTATGGGCTAGATATAAGGAGGTTGTGTCTTTCCCTCCCCACTCCATCCCTTGCTACCTGTGGCACACAAGAGAGCTGGCTCTGGGGTCACAAGAGTGAGCGAACTAACCCTGCTCTACACCAGCTACAGCTCACAGGAGACTAGGCCCTGCACCCAGCACACTAGAGCTGATCTACAGAATATGGCATTTAAAATACTTTAAAAATTTATTTTTTTTCCTTTTTTTATGACTATGAGACATTGACAGCTCCTGGCAGCACCAATCTACTTCAGAAAAGATATGGGCATTTAAGAAACTGCATATGGAGTTAACTTTCATTGTGGCAAAAGTTAGCCACTGGACAACAAAGTGTCCTCAAATCAACTGCTTACAAACAGGACAAAATTGACAGACAGGACATGAAACCAAGGACTACTGCTTCTTGCCAAGACAAGTGTGGCTGTGGCTTTAGCAACAGGCATCCTCTGAGGCCAGAACAATATGGCACCATCGCTGAAGTGGCCTTTGCAATCTGGAAAAGGTACAATGCCCCTTTCTTCAAAAGCAGCTGAACAGGCAGTGGACCAATGGCTTCTGGTGTGCAATGGAACAGTAGCTAAAACAGTTATTCTTGAGAGAGTAACTAGTCTAATGGAGTCTAACCTCTCAGTGGTAGACTGGCTTTTAATAAAAGAGATGAAGCCACCCACAAGCTGAGAAGAATGGACAGCTAAATTCCAAAAACATCAACAATTTCCAAAATTTAAAATCCTGAATCATGATAGGACACTAGTGAAATTCAGGTTTATCTGTTACATGGACTACTCACACCAAATGTGAGGTCAAACTGTAGGTTTCACAAATGAGTCTGTCAGATACACCAGGCCTATAGGCTGAAGATGATGCCCCAATGTTGTGGAGAAACCTCAGGTGACTGTCCAGGCAGCTGGCTGTTTCTGTCAACTCACAACTTTTTGGAAGCTGCTTGCTTGCACTTCATGTTTTACTAGGTAATATTATTTCCTTCTTGGATCTCTGAGGGAGTTGAAGATTAGATAGTTATAGTGAGTTGAAGATTATTAGATAGTTATAGTTTTCCTTGTTAAGAATTTAAAAAAAAACTCACTAAAGAGATGTAAGTGTATAAATTTAAAAGACATTATAGGATAGTTCTCTGTTAGTAATATAAGATAGGATACAAAGTGAATCAGGTACATTTTGGACTTACCAAAATAGGATAGATAATGGAATATTTTCTCTGATTCTGTCAAATGCAAATGGACTAGACATTGTTGAGGTACTTATTGCTTGTATATATTGTATATAGTTATTTTACTTATTGTATATAGTTTTTCTATATTAGTTATAACTTTTTTCTTTTTATTAGAATAAAAGGGGGAAATGTGGTAATATTTTAATTGTGCTGAAATGTGATTTTATTTGAATGTTAATAAAGTTTGCCTGGAGATCAGAGGTCACATAGCCATAAACAGGATTCAGGCAGTCGTAGCACATGCCCTTAATGTGATCACATGGCAGGCAGAGTCTCTGTGTGGTCAAGGACACAGCCAAGCGTGGTGACACAAGCCTTTAATCCCAGTACCAACCATAGAGATCTGGAAGTCTGTATAGACAGTCAGTGACGAGGAAGTCATATGGCTGGGCTAAGAGCCAATGAGAAAGCAAAACAAAAAGGCACTAAAAACACAGGTTACACAGGAAGAAGCTCTCTCTGGGGAAGCAACAGTGATGAGGTGGTAAGATAAGGTAGTCGTGGCTCTTCACTAGTTCTCTGATCTCTTTGGCTATTACCTCTGTATTTGGCTCTGTGTTTCTTATTTAATAAGACCGTTTAGAAATTCATCTACAGACAGGTGCAAGTAAAGATGAACAGACTAAAGGGTAAACTGTGTGTCTCGACAGGCCACACTACAGCTTCCATGACAAGATTCTTCTTTTTGTTTTTGCTGTTTTTGTTTTGTTTGAGTTTTTGGTTTTTCTTTTAAATTTGGTTTTATTCTGGGGGAAGGTTGCAAGGACAGAGAGCAGATTCAAGGGGACAGGGAAATAAGTGGGATTCAAATGCATGAAGTGAAATCCACAAAGAATCAATAAAAGTAAAAAAGGGGAAGAGGGCTTGCAGGGAGGTCCCTTTTGCTTTGGGGATGCTTCCCTTTATATCATGCTGGTGAGTTTATCTACCTTGTTACTGCCAGTGCTCTCCATCACCCGCATCAAAATCGAGTTTCTTCAGCCCTCTAACAGCAACTGAAGCTTCAGGGCTCTCCAGAAATCCTCCAGACCATAAGTGCCAGATTGGAACTGCTGAGGCTTGCAGTTTTACTGACTGAGAATCCCATTGGGTTCTCAGCCTCTCCAATGTGAAAACAGCCATTTTGGACCACTCAGGTGGTATTGCATAAACCAACCTAAAAAACCCCTTTTGAGATAGATAGAGATATGAACACTCTACTTGCTCCCCTGAGAACCCTGACAAATACAGGTAGTTAATTAATTGAAAGATTCATTTCTTATACAAATACTGTATTTAATACCAGATTCCTAGAGATCTGAGAAACTAGTAGAGAAAGGGACAGAGATACTCAAGAGCATATGTTACCTACCTGAGAATTCTATAAATACACTTTTCAGATGACAGATTCATGATCTAGAGAGGAGTATTGTATTTCTTATTATCTTGACCAGCTACCTGTACCTGGAAGAGTTCTAGTGTGTGGTGGTGGGAGAACATTTAATGGAAGTGAGTTGATAGTCAAACTAGGCAGCAAAGAAATATGTAAGAATAATAAAGAAAAGAACAAAAAAAGATGCATAAAGATAAGTGGCAGCAATAAACACTAGTATCTGGCATATAGTAGACACTCAATATACATAGTAGGAACCAGAGAATGTGATGGAGATGAATATGAGTCTAAGGAAAATCAATAAGTGGTAGGTCAAGGCAGAAGATAACTAATAGGCCCCCAAAGAAAATGAGAATCAATGGTAATCAGATAGAGAAAATGGTATAAACCACTGTTACTTTTATTATTGCTCAGACAAAATATCCAGACAAAAGCAACCTAAGGAAGAAAAGGTGTGCTGGTGTTGGTGTTGTTTGTCTGCTTGGGCTGACAGATTCAGGGTATCTCCATAATCAGAGAAAAAGATGAATGCTAGTGATCAGCTCACTGTTTTCTTTGTATGCAGTCAGTAACCCAGAGTGCAGGAAAGTGTCACCAACTTTCAAATGATCCAATCTAGAAAATCCTTCACAGTCCTGCCTGTGAGTCTAGAGCCTGTCAAGTTGATAAACCAACATTAACCATCACAAGCACACAGTAGGAAAATGAGTTTTACATATTCCAAACTTAATACCTTCTCTTTATGAGCTTTATATCAATACTGTTAAAGGTTTCAAGTCAAGAAACAGGTTACTTTTTTATGAAACTTTAATTTATTTTCTCTAATTACTTATAATATTTCTTTTTGTTGTTGTTGTTATTGCTATCTGTGGTTTGTGGGACAGGGCATTCTACGTAGTCCAAGCTGGGCTAGAAATATACATCACCATATATGATCAATATAACCAATACACCACCGTGGCCAGCCCACCTATATGGTTTCATAACCTGATTCTCACTAATACAGATCAACAGGATCCTATGACAGGGATAGTATTAATTTATTTTGAGAGGAAAAGATATGATCATCTATGACCTATAAGTGCTGCTATATTCTAAGCTCACTCTCCAGTTCTGCTCCTCACCATCTAAACTTTTTTAGATAGTCTCTTCTTCACTCAGTCATGGCCAAGCTAGCAGGCCCATAAGCTTCCAGGAATGCTCCTGTCTCCACTAGCCATTCTGCTACAGGTGCACTGGGATCACAGATGATCCCTACCTTATCTGGCCTTTACATGAGTTCCAGGGACCCAAACTCAGGTTCCCATGCTTGCATGGCAACTGATTTACCCACTGAGCCCTCTCTCCAGCCTCAAAATTGTGATCTAGCCAATAAGAATGAAGACACAAGAGAAGTCAAGACTTACTAGCAGGTCTAAACAAGCCAGTAGAGAATACTTCATGTCTGGTCTAACAAACTAACAAAAAGCTTGAATCAATAATTATCTACAAAAACAAAAACAAAACAACAAAAAACCCAAAACAAACACAACCAAAAAAAAACCCCACCTCATTGGTCCTTTATTTAGCGGAACTAAGACACTCAATAAGTCCTAAGAGTCAACATCCAATAAAGATGACCACACACACACACACACACACACACACACACACACACACACACTTTTAAAAGGAAAACATAACTCATATCCAGGATAAATATCACTCAAGAGAGGAAAAAGTAAAGGCATGCCAAAACAGAACCCTGGGAAATGCCTTTAAAACTTTAAAAGGTAGGAGGGGAAAAGGGATCCAGGAAAAGTCACCAACAAAAGAGTAACACACAATGTCAAAAGAATGAGTAGAGTATTGTATCACGGGAGTCAAGTAAGGAGACAGTTCCCAGAAAGAAGACAGTGTTCAACCAGGAGAACAAGTAAGATGGACTGGAGTACTCCTTGGATTTGGCAATCACACACATGATCATCATGGCCAGAGAAGTTTCAACAAAGAGGCGGTGGTAGAACTGGAATTCCTAGGGCCTGAGGAGTGGATGGGACGAGAGATGACAGACATGTATTCAATGCATGATGGTCTCTGACTCAAAATGTGCAAAATATTTGTCTGTTTCATCTCTGAAAACATTTTTTAATATTCTACAGACCAGGTATGGCGCTACTTGAGAGGTTGAGGCAGGATGATTACTTGAGTCTAGGAGTTTGAGACTAGCATGAGCAACAAAATAAGACTACAACTCAAATTTAAAATATTCTTCTTCCATCTTCCTGAGAAATGTGTTCTTTCCCTTTCAGTCTCATTTGTTTCTATATAAACCACTCCCAATTAAAAATATGTAAAACTGTTACCAAAAAAGGCATTAAGCAGCTTCTGAACCTGGATGTTGCTGCCCACTGTTCGGTACAACCCTTCCGTCTTGATCCCTAGGAAAAGCAAACCAGATTATTTTAGTTAGCATAGCTCCAGCTTTTATGTTCCCCAAGGCAGAGAAGGAAGCCCTTGTACCCTGGTGTCAGTTCACAGACAACAAAGAGGCCTCCCTCTCTCTTCTAGTGCTCCAGCCCTTCCCTGTTACAAAGGAACAGTCCTATCATCCTAATCGTATCCAAAAATCATTCAGGACTCCATTTGCTTGTACCTATCCCCTATTGGTCTGAAGGGGAGAGAACACATCCTATAGTATAGGGAGGCATGATAGAACAGTCTGCCATGTTGGAAGGGAGCTAGTGATTAAAAGGGAAGGGAGGTGACATCAACCCCCTATATCACTCTCAAGAAGTGATATAAAGGGGGAGAGGGTTGGAGTATGGAAGATATGAAGCAAAAGTCCATTTTTGTATTGAGAAAGGCTGAAACAAAGCTTCAAAGAAAACAGAGTGAATCATACACCACAGCTACCTGCATTCGAAATATCCTGAGGCAGAAACAGACATTTGGTTCATGAAGAAGCATGCTGATTCAACATGTCCCTGAGTTTTGATGGTCCCATCAATTTTTAAATTGATAGGAAAATGATACTGTGGTAGAAGCTGGGCTCTTGGTCGTTTGAAATGGAACTATCACTGAACTGCAAGTTTCTCCTCTCTAAATGTGGAAGCACAAATTATGTATGTATGTTTGGATGAGGAACGCTATGATGGTAGCCAGTTTGGAACTGGCTTAAATTTAAACAAATGTGTCCAGTATACAAGTTGTTGGAATACAGTCCAAAAATGGAGCGGTGCTGGACCAAGTCTGAGTTCTTGTAAGAAAACTCCAAGAAAACAGAAGTGTTGTGACCTCAGTTTCTTCAAAAACACAGAATTGTCCTTAGATTATGTCTTTATGCCCCTCCCGTGTGTGGTGGATAGGAGTAAGTTTACTTCAGATTATTCATTACAACTGGATATTGTTATTTGTTTATAAACCTCTATGGAAAAACACGGTTGTTGCCCTGTGTGGATTGTATACTTTACTAATGTGACTTTTCTTAACCCTCAGAGTATAAATTGTCCGATGCTCTGTTAACTATTGCATTAGACTTTAGTCCGCCTCATTTTTAGTATCCATTCTTCCAGGTCAAACCACAAAACTGATCAGTAAGCACAAGATTTATAAAAAGTTGCCATTCTTCCTTACGAGAAGATTCCTTAGGACAAAAGCAGAGCGGCCAAATTCAACCATGTCGAGGTGATGGTTTCAGTCTTACCTTTGATCTCAATAAAATTGATGCACTTCCTAACGAACTTGAACCCCACTTCATTCAGCTCCACTGTTTTGAGGAAGGGAAAGGAGAGTTAGTTCGTAGCATAGTAAGAAGCTCCCACCCAGCATTCAAGAGCCACAGCAGTGACAAAGGTGAGAGTAGTGGTGGGCAAGTGCCCATCTCCACTCACCCTTCGATGGAATGACGCCATGCTCAGGGTAGGCTTGGACTTTCATAACACAAAACGTTTCTGTTTAGCCCTTTATATCACATCTACCCTCAACATGAGCAATACCAAACATGAAACACTACTGCGGAAATGCACACAATTTTTATCATCTGTCTAGAACGAAGAGGAGATAATATAGTCCCTGTATCCTCAGTACCATTCACACCGTACGTTTCAATGGAGTGACTTCCCTAATCCAATCAATACACAGTTTCAAATCAGGGCTAGGTTTCCTTTTGCACAGATTCGCATGAATGGTACATGTCACCAACACTAGCTTTTACTGTCACCGGGACAGCTTTGCACTTACGTCAGTCAGGAGAGTATAAAATGCAATTACTTACTTTCTTCCTGTTTTGTTATAGGGCTGTGGTAGATCTACAAAACAAGAGAAACCAAAACAGGCTTAGTGACTGTGACTCACTACAGATAGGTAGGGCAAATGGAATTAAATTTCATTCCCTAGACTATCAGAATCGTTAGAGATGCCCGAGCTGTAACAGCAAAGGAAAGGAGGTTAACCAGTTATCTTTGCCCAGATTCCTGGAAAACGCAGTCCCTGAGAACTGTCCTCGATGTTCACACAGTCTGCACAGCTGAAGCTGGAGCTGACTCACCTTAGACATTGACTCAGGTAAAGCTTAGGGTGTTTCTGGGGTAGAGCAACACATAAAAAAATGGCTAATAGGCATTAATAGTAAAATAGCTAACTGATGTTTCTCTTTAGAAAGACAAGAGTTCTTTGGGCCAAGCAGTGGTGGTGCACGCTGTTAATCCCAGCACTTGGAAGTCTGAGGCAGGTGAATCTCTGTGAGTTCGAGGCTAGTCTGGTCTACACAGCATGTTCCAGGACAGCCAGGACTACTACACAGAGAAACCCTGTCTCAAAACAAAGGAGTTCTTCTGAAGGAGATTGGTGAATGTCACAGAGTCATCTTGAAGTATGCACTCTGATAACTATGTACAAGACCAGAATGGGGAGTTTGGCTTCTTTGAGACTTGGCTTGGTTGTGCCCATAGGCCATTAGTAGACTGGACATACCCTTTCCAGTCTCTAAATTTCATGTTCCCCATAAATACAAGGATCAGGGTTGGAACAGATGTTCCTTCAAGCCCTGATCCTCTTGGACAGTTGAAGCAAAGGCATACACATGACGTGTATGTTCAGTGGATTTGGTGTTTAATGAAGCTGCCACACTGGTATGGTGAGGCTGAGGGAATTAAGCCCAGCCTCTCCTTTTTGAAAGGAAAAGTGCTGTATATGTCAGTGGTTCTCATGAAGATTTCAGTAAGAGGCATTTCTGCATTGTACAGCATTTGCTGCGACTTTTATGAACGAGCTTAGGGAAGTCAGCGGCAATCAAGCTGCTGAGGCTGTTTCTTCAGAGGATCTATGCTTAAGACTCATTCTCCACAACAAGCCACTGATATCTTCTGATCTTCAAAAGCCTAAAGGGAGATCAGGGGTAGGAGAGGGAGTGGACATATGAATGCCTTACACCTAGCATCCCCTGGAGAGACACCACAGGCATATAGAAAGGCCAAGCTTCAGGTTTCCAGAAAGTGAACCCCATTCTGCTTCTAGCTACTACAGATGCAATCTCAGAGATGGCTACTACACTCTCAATTTTTCCACTTATATTTTTATTTGTGTTAAGGGAGGGGTGTGCATGTCACAGCACACGTGGTGGCCAGAGGTCAACTTATGGGAGTCACTTCTCTCCTTCTACCTTGTAGGGACTAGGTAACTGAACTTAGGAGGTCCCAGGCTTGATGGCAGGCGCCTCGACCCACTAAGCTCTCTCACCGTCCCTCATTATGCCTCTGTCCTCCACAGAGAATGGAGGACACAAAGAAAGAATACATTTCCCCAACAGGCGAGCTATTCAGCTTTTCACTTGAGGAGAGTAAGGAGGTAAGGCTGGATCCAAACATTGTAATAGTCCTACAGTTGTCCTTCCAACCAGGGAAGACGATCCAAAACTAACACAGCATTCTACTGTTTGTAGAATGGTTTTCCCTTGATTGTTCAAAGTGATCCTGGGAGATACACAGAATAGAAATCATTAAAAATAAAAGCATTGCATTAACAAGAAGAAGAGAATTGGAGGACAGAGAGTAAAATAACTTGCTAAAGTCATCACCATGTAACAGCAAACCCAAGACCAGGCATTTGTAGTTCAAACACACAAAGCTCATGTTATGCCATATGCCACTAAAAGAAACTACTAGAAAGATGTTGAAGAGACAGTACTTTCCAATGATTTCTGCTTTTATTGTTGTAGATCTAGAACCATTTCTGACTCTTCTAAGGATTTTTTCTCTCTACCTGCCTAACAGTGAATTCTGAAAGGGAACCCGCTAAGTCTGTGATGCGAGAGGGGTTAGAAAATCACTTTAAAAGAATGCTAAATGGAGACTTACTTACATCCATGACAATTATTTTCCATCCCTCTATATGGACAAATCAATTCTATAATATGAAGAGGGATTACTTTTCATTCCTAAGAACTTGGGAATAGCTACAGAGTCTACTACTTCAGTAGGGAGCCTTGATGCCTTCTCTGGAGGCAATGACAGACAAGTACTAAGGAAGTTCTTCACCTCTAGATCTCAAGTTGGAGTAAACAAGAGTTCAGGAAGTGACAGTTCCTTCCTTCTAGCTCTAAGATTTAGAATCTGAATAACCTATGGCCAATTCCCTACTGGAACCACTAGAGGGCATTCATACACTGACCTATGCTGCTGAGGTTCCCTAGACACACACACACACACACACACACACACACACACACACACACACACACACACACACACACACA